TGCGGGGGTAATAGTCGGAAGGCGGAGGTGGAAGTGCTCAGTCTGATGCTGGAGGTTGGCGGTAGGGGCGCGGAGCAGGCGGAGGTTGATAATCGAAAAGTGGCGGTGGAAGCGCGAAGTCCGATGCGGGAGGTCGGAGGTCAGAGTACTGAGCGTGGGCGAGACTCGGAAGGTGAAGGTGGGAGCGCGAAACATGATGCTGGAGGGTGGAGGACGGAGGGCTGGCCAGGCGGAGGTTGATAATCGAAAAGTGGAGGTGGAAGTGCGAAGTCCGATGCTGGAGGTCGGAAGTCAGAGTGCTCAGCTGGCGGAGGTTGATAGTCGGAAGGTGGAGGTGAAAGTGGGAAGCCCGACGCCGGAATTTGGATGTCAGGGCGCCGCGCCGGCCGGCGATAGAAGCTGAAGCACGAGAAGAGGATAAGATTCGGAGCGCCGCCCTGGCCGCAATGGAAATCGGAGGTCAGAGATGAAGCCGAATATCCTGCACGCCGTCGTAGACGCCAGTCGCCAGCAGCTCCTTTGGGGAGCTTCCTGGCCCCATGACAAAATTGATCACCTAGTGAAACTGTGGAAAGTCGCTGTCACCACGAGGGAGGGCGACTTTCCACGGGAGGGCAGATGACCAATCCACAAACTTCTGTCAGCAACTCAATAACGATCAAATCGCTCGGGTTCCCCCTGGGAACGCCACCCGCAGGGGGTGAAGCAGGAAGCAATTCCCCCCGCCGATTCTGGGGGCCCTGCGAGCAAGGGGAATGGAAGTCCCCGACCCAGGTCTCCACCCTGGAGGACAGACACTGCAGAGCAAGAGGAACGTCCAACGTCGAAGACGCGGGCGCGCCACAGTTGAGCACAGCGACGTCGGGGTCGCGAAAACCTTGGATGATCCATCTGGATGTTGCACCGTGGCCTTTGGACACAGACGGATCGTTCAGCCCGTTGTCGTAGTCAATCCCTTTGTCTTTCCACTCATCGCGCCAGCGAAAAGGCATGACACGCTTTGTAAATTTGTGCTGCTGCAGCCCCATCGGTGGATGCGCGCGGCCTCGGCGCCATCCGGTCTTGAAGCCTGCAGCGCGTATACTAGACCACTCTTTGTAGCGGCTGCCGCCGGGGCTGGCAGACCGTTTTCTCGGATGATCAGGAAACGGATGGATGTAGATATCACATGCAGCACGTTTCTTGTCAATGAAGAAAGATCTCGAAGTGTCTACGAAGGCCGCCTCAGACTGGCGGCCCGCGTCGACATCGTCGCAGTTAGGAGTCTTGAGCGCCCCCGACAAATCATCTGCTACCTGGGCAATATGGCTGGCGCCCACGCAGTGGGCAACCAGCAAGTCAGCGAAAGGGGCCTCGGCTGGCGCGGCAGCGGTCGGCGCTGGCGGCGGCAAGTAAGATGCCGCACTTGCGGGCTAGGGCAGGCCCGAGCCTCGCGACGTCGCGCTAGCAGCTCCCTCCGGCACAGCCGGCGAAGAGGTCCGACGAGGCCCCGGCTCGCTCTGCGGCCCCAAAAACTCGGTTGATAGGATGGCCAGCACTGTCGTGAGCAAGCTTGAGATCAGTCTGCTGGTCTGCCCTCGGCGACCACTCAGGCTGAGCAGGTGCGTCAGCATCGCTATCAGGCAGCCGGGGAGAAACTGCGTGGATCTGCCGACGCCCGCGGCGCCCATTTCAAGAGTCGGCGTCTGGATGGGCCTCGGGCCGCGGGCATGTCCGAGATATTTCACGAATTTCTCGAATTGATCCTCGCCGCAGGCTCCACCCTGCACCCCGGGATCCACCAGGCCGAAGCCCATGTGAGTGCGATGTCCGACGAAGGCCCCATCGACGTTGTCTGCGGCTGCGAGGACTGCGAGGGCGCAAGAACTGGCCCCGGGCCGAGTCGCACACCCCCGTTGGCGGGCACCTTGCGGAGCAGCGTCTGTTTCAGGGGGGGTGACCTGAAAACCGCAGAAGCCTGCTCGACGCCCCCGCCCTCGCTTGTCTGGCTCGTTCGCGCGGTCTCGGACCCAGCGCCCCACCTCCCCGCGTCGGGCGCGCTCCGAACGACTCATCGGCTTGCACTTTGTCCAGCGCCTCGATCGGGCACGTCCACTCCGCTCTCCCCGTCGCTTTCCCTCGCGGGAGTTGTTGGTCTTATCTTTCGGCGGAGACAGCCTGGAGAAGCCTCGCCCGAGCTTCCGCTCGTTTAACTATTGTCGTAGTTGGCTGTATTTGGCGCAGATGGCAATAACTTCGCCTGCGCCCTCCGACATGTCTCCGGCCGCGAAGAGCACCCCTTTCGTCATCCACGAGCCTTGCAGCCTCGTTCAAGATGCCCACTTCTTGGTAGCCCTCTCGCAAAGAATACAAAGACGGTCGCGCAGAGATCCATTGGACCCCCTCGTGATCCGACCCCTGTTCATCACGCCCTCCTTCGCCACCTTGGTAGCCGATAAAAAAACGAAGAAGAGCTCGCTCCATGAATGTGATGACCAATTATTTCCTGAGGGTGACGGGCGTTCAACTTTACGGATCTGTTCACTGACCATACCGAAATCATGGGACCCCCAAGTCCAAGTCTAGACAGTGCCCCAGGCGGCGCCATTAAACTCGCACTCTCTGAGAAGCACCCATCCCTTCAACTCGGGCGGCAGAATGACATGCTTCTCGGGTTCTCTCAACAGAACGCGCTTGCGAGCGATTCTGTTGACAATAAACTCATCTCGCTTGCGTTTCGCACCATCATAATAGAACAGCTTCCCACATGCGGTCCTGGTATTCGGCGACAACCTTCTTGACATGTTTGACCATCACCTGCCTGCTGTCCTTGGCGGACAACTGTTCCTCGGCGACCTCGTGAAGAATGATTTGAAGTCGTCCTTGGCGTAGCGGTAGATGAAGTACCCGTGTGGCTTTTTAAAAAAAGAACCCTGGTAGTCGTGAAGCACGATTGCAACTCTTTCATATAGGGATCTAAACGAGTGTCAGGATATGTCCCACCCCAAGTGGGAGGTAAGTCCTTTCTGGTATCTTTGGAGCCTCGGATTGTTCAGGAAATTGTCCCCTCTGTCGATCGGAAGATCTGGAAGTGGCGTCAGCACAGTTTGTCGGAGCGAACGGTGTTGCCGCACCCCGCAGAAGTGCGTTCAGCCGAGCTGGCCCAGCCAGCGACCCACGCCCCTTGCGGGTTCCAACCTGATGAGGCTGATTGCAGACTGGATGATTCATCCGTCCCCTGTTGATCGAACCAGCGGGCCCAATCCTCATCTGACCAAACCACTTCGGCATCGCCCTCCCAAGAAACAGTTCCTCGTCTTCCGCATCCTGCCCACGGATCTTGGCCCTCTTGATGCTAAGGATTTTCTGGGAGCGCCCCGAAGCCCGAGTGTGAGCACGGAGAGCCTCCTGCAGTTCGTCACGTGTCCTGCCCCGCCGCCCCGGCCAAAAGCCAGAGGGAGGGGGGGGTCCGTCAGCGTGGCAGTGCGGGCCGCCGCATCTCTTATTCGGACCACGTGGCGGGCCGACAAAGAAAAGCGGGCCAAGCGTGGCTTAGGGCTTCTGGTGGCTTAGCGTCGGATTGACTCTCCATGGCGGCGTTCGGCAAGAGAGGGTGGGAAGCGGGAAATCCGGGTGACAAATAGGTGAGTCACCCGAAAATCGGGTAACGAGGTGAATCTGCCTGATTCTTTTTGTGGGTCGAAACTATTGGTTCCGCTGCCACTGTGGAATGTACGGGAGCAACTAATCGGAATACAGAAAGACACGAAGCACAATTAGGGGGACCCGTGCGAACAGAGAGAGAGAGAGAGAGCAAAAAGAGAGAGAGAGAGAGAGAGAGACATATCACGTTTTTTAAAGGGGTTCGCGCGCGCCCGCGGCCAGCGCGCCAAGTAACTCAATGGCCCTGCGAGCCAGGAGAGGCTGAAATGGGCATGACAACCAAAGGGGTGGAGAGGGGGGAGAACGGGTAGGACAGGAGAGTACAAGAGATGAGACGAGAGGGGGGGGGAGGAGGGGAAGAGGAGAAGGCACGGGGGAGGAAAAGGAAAGAAACGCACGGGGGAGGGGAGGGAAAACCTCCACACCATCCTCCCCCCACCCCTCTTGCCTCCTGCCTCCTGATGTCCTGCCTCATCATACCTCGCTCCTCCTTCGCTGCCGCGGCCCCGGCACTTTGAGGACGAGTGGCCATAACGGACGGGCGCGCCAGGGCGAGTCCAGGACCCACCGACCTGCGCGAACGCGTGCTGGCTGGCGAGTGCAACCTGCGCTGCTTCCCCCAGCCTCTCAGCCTTCCACCTGCAATGGCTTCGCCCCCCCTCCCCTCCCCTCCTGACATCCTTGCGCAACGAAAAAATCACCACGGGTGTCATATTGTCCGTTTTAGGCCTCCGGGGGCCCTCGCTGGGCCCGAAGGACGTCACAAAACGTCTCGGGATGAAAGACCGGTCAATGGGAAGGGGCCCACCAGACATCTGGGGAGCCACGCTGTGGAAAAAATCACGCGACGCCAGATGTCTCGGCTCCCCCCCTTCCTCAGAGGCCTCCTAGATGGAATCCGAGTAGATGGGATAGGAGGATCGCGCCGCATCGCCGATGAATCGCCGACGCATTGGCTACGAATCGGTGATGCGTCGGCGACGTCGGCCACGCATCGGCGCCATCGGCGCGGCGAAAATTGGGCTCCGCGTCGAGCCACATCGCCAATACATCGGCGATTCGGCACATCCTCCGACCCTATCTCCTTAGACCCTGTCTGACTACCTACCAAACCACCCCAACCCGACCCGAAAACCCGAATTTCGGGTTGGGGGGGTACGGGTTCCATTTGTTTGTTCGATGTTCCCCGACCCCTCCCCCACTGGAAATGCAGAGCAGATTAAGGCCTTCGAGTTGCGTTGGAGTGGTTCGGTGGGTGGTGACTATCTGGGAAGCCTGGAGATTCACTCCCCCATTCCGAACCTCCCGCCCACCCACCCCCCCTCGTCCTCCTCGCCCTGTTCCAGCCCCAGGGGCGC